TCAGCATTGTATCTGGAAAATATACCGTACACATTTATTTTCACAGATAGGGGTCTATTTTCTTTGTGAAGCAGGTGCTTAACTTCCATTAGCATAAATGGAAGTTATGTGAATTCAGTGAAAGACAGAGAAGACCCCTTTTATTATTTGGCTATAATTTTTATTCTGTTTGTGTATCTTAAAAGTTATTAAAATAGACAGTGGTTGCACGAACCATTTAAATTTTCTAAGATGTAAAGTTAAAGATGAAGCTAACTCTTGAATAAGTTTTGCGGATCTTTCTCTTCACACTGTGGGATGCAGTCTGTTTGCTGTGGAGCTGTACGATCCTGTTCAATTAACTGAAACATGGATAACAAGTCCTAAGTTAACCAGAAATATAACCCGAAAACGGTGAGTGTATACTGCTTCAGAATGCACTCGTAGAGAGCGGTTAATCATTGTTGGATTTTTTAAATGATGTGTGAACACACATATTGTAAAGAATTAAAAATAAGAATTACTCACCACCATGGCCTCTTTACTGAGTAGCAGCAAGCTTTTCTATATATATATGGAGCTGATTTTACTAGCACATGGGCCGGTGAGTATAGAATTATTCACGTGTCCTGATGATTGATAGTCAGCCGATCTACCTGTCTGTCTTGCAGATGTGTTTTATAGAAAGCCCGTTGCTATTGTTAATGCTTCAGTGCTGTCACAGAGATGGGCTGTCATAAATATCCCCTAACAACTATGTTTGCTGCTTATCTGAATTAGTTAGAATGCTGTTTGCAGCTCCAGTTTTGAAAGAAGCAGTTTATCCTCCACCTCCTGTTATTTCTTTTTCCATTAACCTCTTCCACGGAAGATTTTGTTTTCAGTTGTGATAAATACACATAAGTTTCAAATCCCTGATTATATTTCTACAGTAGTCAAATGATAAAACTCCAAAATCATTTTCAGCATACAGCAGAACTTGGAAAAGAAAATGGCAACTTAAAAATGACTGGGGGAGATGAATAAATCTGAGCGCCCTTAGCTTTATTGGTTTGGTATCCCACTCGCTAATTGCTTAAGGAAGCACGCATTCATCTTGACAGGGTAACCCTCAACTGTGGCGGCATTTCAGATCACGTGGGTACATATGACTGCTTGGGGGCTAAGAGAAGAGCAGTCATTTTATTACAGATTTCAATAAATACAGTAAAGTTGACATTTGTTACCATATTAAAAGGGTCTTGAAAAATTCTTGAAAGGAAAAGTGCAGGTGAATACAAGAGATCACACGTACCTGCTGAAAAGGCGAAGCATGATTTAAATGTTCGCCTGGGTGTATTTTAGAGCTGAAATGAAAAATTAGGATGACAGTTTATTTGGGATCCCAACGGGAAAAAATGGCCTATGGTGATACACTTCAGAAGGGTGGTCCAGGTGTAATGTACAAGGACTCTTAAAAAGTGCCTCCAACAGTTTTCTTAGGCAGCCAGCAGACGGATAGAAGATGAGCCATCTCTCCTGTACTTTAAAGAGCAGTTCAATATAGAGGAATCTGATAAACTGGAAGTGCTGGGAGTTCAAAAGAATTTGAGTGACACAAAATAAATACAACACGTTTTTGGTTTTTAAGTGGATTACACTTAGGCAATAATCGTTTGCCTTGTGGAGCTCCTTCATGTTTGCAGTAGGACAGGAACTGCATCCATTTTCCAGGAGAAGTCTGTGCCGTGAATATAAGTCATCCCCCCTCCACGGGGAAGGGGTGTGCAGAACACAAAATGTGAAGTTACACTGAGATTTGGGGGTTAATTCAAATGAGAGTCCCTTAATGAAAAAGAACTGGATGTGCAATCAGTTCACTTAATTGTGCTTTAGGAAGGCCATCAGCCCCCGCCGAGGACGAACCCGAAAGCATGGCCAAGCTGCGGCAGCGTCCAGAAGGGAGAGCGGGGGCTGGACTCAGCTTCCCCAAGTCCAGTTAGAATCACCCCAAACATTGGTGTTTAAGTGAGTGTGGCCACAAGTTGCTCGATTCTTGAAGGTCTTTGCAAGTCCTGGCTTTATTCTTCAGTGGATAAACAATATTATTTCCTTTAGCGGATGCCAAACACTTCTTGGAAAAGAAAAGACTTTGGCATAAATTACTCTGTGGTGCCAAACATCCAGATAAAAACTACAAATCCAAATACATAGTTGTGTCGATAATATCTAGATATTTGATGACATTGAAACAAAGCATTGGGATTTTCAATGGGACTTTTCAGTTTTTACCTGAATTTTTATTGCCATCGCCACACCACTGTGCAGTGGAGTCAAAAAGCACAAAGGCGTATGTGTATGCGCAGATTTGGGGTGCTAATATAATTACCTAAAATAAGCTACTTTGAAGTAATATATTAACCCATTTTCTTGTCATAATAAATTACATGTATTTGAAATAAAATAATTGGGTTAAAATGTATGATTATAATTTTAGTATTAACTTGATGTCTTCTAGGAAAAGTGCTTAATTTAAAAAAGAAAGAAAAAGCACTATTAATTCCAATTAATGTTCTAATTACTCATAGTGCATGTAGTAGCAGTGGGTTTCAGTTTGATAATTATATATGTAAAAGATCATAATTAAGCTAATTATTATATAAATAGTGTGCTTATTCAGGTACATTAGTTTATAAAAATGAATTTATAGGATTAATATCTTTTCAAACCACTTTTTTTTCTGGATTGATAAGAAAATACTTCTGACTTTTATGCATTACGGAGAAGTTGATTCAATGAAAAGAAAACCCTAATATCTAATTTTATAAAAACCAAATTAATGTGTGCATAGTAATTTGCAATATTCAATGAAATTCATATATTCCCATTTTGGTGATAAATGGCCTATGAATATAAACCTTCTGAAACAAGTACCAGTTTGTATAATTAATCATCCTTATGATTCTTCTGTGATTTCAAACTGTCATCTTCAATAGCAGTTTGGATTTTGAAGCAGTCATTAATTATAGTGTTAAAATTTTTTTATGGCTGACAAAATTGTGTTTAGTTTTAGAATTTCAAAACTGCTAAATTTTATCTTGAAAAATTACTGCTTAGAACAGTAGCCTCAAATCACAGCTTAGACCAGCCGAGCATGAAGCTGCTCCAGTCATCTGTGAGGCTGGATTAACACTGGCCTGTATGGAAATGGAGAGTTGTTTGTTTCTTACAGGGGCATGGGTGCTACTCTTGGTGTATCTAAAAGATGATATGAAATCAAGTATCTGCTTATGCGTGCTTATGTGTAAATATTTTATGCTATACAGGTTGGACTTGCAAAGCGAGGAAGTGAATGAATCACTCTATCCTAATTTCAAATAAGTTTTGCATGAACTTCTGAGAATGTCAGCTATCAGAACATCTTCTACATTTTAAAGCATGAATTATTTATCATTTAGGAAATATCAAAGCTTAACCTTGTTGAAGAAATTTTGCACTCTTACTTTTTTAGGATGGCAGATAAAACGTATCAGTGGTCCATTCCCTAAGATCTTTCTCTTCGTGGCCAGACAATAGTTTCACGACATTTAGGTGAAGTATTTGATTTTTATTTATCTTAGCATTAAGGACCCATAGGTAAAAAGTGAACATCTTCTAGTCGCCTAAAAACCAGCCACCCTTTTGATTTAGAAAAAAATTTTTTTTTTTTTTTTTTAGTTTGGCAGCCCTCCTTAGGTTAATCACATTCCTCCGTAAGGTTTTCCTAATGTTTAGAGTGCCACGTCCACAGAAACATTGAAAAAGTAGATACTTAGCGAATGTCTATTTGAACAGGATAACCTGGCCCAGCCCGGTGCCCAGCACAGAAAAGGCACTCTATCAGTATTTGGGGGAATGAGTGTCTCATATGGGAAAGTTGAAGGTTAAGGGAAAGCTGAATCTTGTGAAGCATTCACAGTGCAGCCTCCAAGTTGGCTACAGATTGATGGACAGGAAAAAAGAATCCATTTAAGTATATTTGCACAGAGAGGGATATATAGAAAATATATTTGGAAAAAGAAGGCTCATCCTTCTTCCCCGCTCCCTATCCCAGTCCCTCACCCCTCCTGTGCTTTTAGAAGTGAGCAATTGGCCACTAGTGTAATGAAAGCCTAACAGTTGATTCAAATAGCTGTCAAACCACTGGAAAAATGCTTTCTTTTCATTGTGCTTTTTTTGGACACTATAGATATGGTAAATCATGAACTACATTATAAAAATACCTCTTTTATGCCCAAACATTCAGTAGGAGGGAATGACATTTCTTTTATTACCTTGGTAAATGTTTTTAAGGTGTTTAGCAATAAGCTTTCTTTTTGTCAAAACTGCTTAGATGCAGTGGTTGCTAGGAATTTACTAGAAAACCTACAGTTAATAATATCAGGAGGGGAAGGGATATAGGTTTGGTCAGCTAAGACGACAGAGCAGCCTGAGCAGCAAGCAGATGCTTTGTCGTTCCCCTGTCATTTTCTTGATCTGTTATGGAAAAAGAGTGGTAATTGAAGTTTACAAAGTTTATTTTCCATTATTGCCCATCAGCCAATGTTTTTAGCACTTTTTCTAGCTTTTGGGCAGAGGAATAGATCGGCCCAAATAATAGAAAAAAAAAATAACGCTTAAGAGATTTCTCAAGAAAAAAGGATGATGAGATTTTTTTTTTTTTAAAGATTTTATTTATTTATTTGAGAGAGAGAGAACACATGAGAGGGGATAGGGTCAGAGGACGAAGCAGACTCCCCGCCGAGCAGGGAGCCCGATGCGGGACTCGATGCGGGACTCGATCCAGGGACTCGATCCAGGGACTCAATCCAGGGACTCCAGGATCATGACCTGAGCCAAAGGCAGTCGCTTAACCAATGAGCCACCCAGGCGCCCAAGGATGATGAGATTTTAATACAAATGTGAACAAGGTCATTGGTAGGCCTTAGTAAATTAACTCTTTCTTTTTTAGCTGTGGTTCTTTTTTCCCTCTGCAGGTAGAAACTCCAGAATTTTGTTGTGCTTCCTATAATGCTGAATTTTAACATGAACACTTTTTTAAAGACAGTATTTAAAATAAATTATTTCCTTCGATGGTTGCTGGCTATTGAAATTGATATAGACCTACCTTTTTAGTATTTACTTTTGGTTTTATGTCTTACCTTTATTTCTTTCCTTAACTGGGTGGTAATGGATTTTTTTTTTTTAAGTGGTGTTCTAACGAACATGCTATAAAAGTCAACCACTCAGTTAAAGATACTAGGAAGAGAACTTTGGCAGAGAGATCTCAAGCCTCACCGGTGGATAAGGGGTTCCTTAGATAGGACTTTATGACAAAGTAGGTTCTTTCTTAACCAAAAATAGTCGGATCTCATCAGACTACTATAGTAGTTTGCATGCCGCTAAATTTCACAGAAATTTTATCCTACTGACTGGGAATGGCAGATGCTACAGAATGGGGACTAATGTAGCTTCTACCCTCAGGCCTTCCCTAAAAGTGCTGTAAATGCTAAGTTACCACACAGCGTATCTTTTTGTGGTAGAACACTGCAGTGCACTTACCCTCTCTGTATACTGCACTCTGGCTTGGAATTTTGGCCCGTGGTTTCATCCATTGTTACCAGTGATGCTAGACTGCCCCACGAGTTAAATACAGCGGAGCTTGTATTTATGTGAAGCGAGTAAGCTTGCTTGTCCCAGCGGCTGTTTTCATTGCTTATTACCTCCCACTTTGCTTCCATCTGTGTGTGTGGCAGAGGGAATTGTCCGAAGAAATACCGGCTTCCTCTGAACACAAATGTGTATTTGTATACTAGTAAGTCCACGGTGTCCTGAATTGGGGTGCCATTAATAATTGCACTTTCAAAAAAACTTTTACCTTAGAGGGGTTTAGCAGTCGTTCTGTGGAAACCCGCATTCACTTCCACGGTTTCTGTAAATGCATTCACAATGACAACAAACATCAATGCGTATTAAAGTGAAAAGGTAATTTGTAAGATACCTTTTTCATAGAAAACTTTAATTTTTAGGTGAATACAGGAGGTAAGTTGTCATGTATGTGTTCAGCATCAATGGGTAACATAATTGTCCCAGACTTCTTTTTTAATGACTCCGTTTATTTAAAAGATTACAAAGATGCTGATGAAACACACATCCATGGAATACTTATCCTGAAACCTGGAGTCCTATCCATTTTAACTTGTTTGCCATGCTTAATGTATCAGAGAAACCAAACTGAAATCATGGAATAGTTTTCTATGTTAATTGTCCAAGATTTTTTTTTTAATTAACCTACTTTTATATAAGCAATGCCTGAGACAGATATTTTTACCATAAAAAATTCAGCTTTGGGCTGGTAGGAGTTACTGCAGCTTTTTAAAATCAAATGCTAGGCACTATAAACCTTTTAAAATTACTAACAAATGAGGGAGGCTTGACTGGGGACTGTTCAAAATTGTTAGCCATGTACTTATAAAAAGGGACACATGAGTGATATTTGTGTATTAAACCCTGGTTATAAAAAGTCATTTGATTTTTATAACAGCATATTCAGCGGTTACAAAGCCTTAGGACCTTGAGCTAAAAATGTAGAATCTCACTGTAGAAAGTGCCCTACCAAGGAAACAGGGAACGCTGTACTGGCAAAAGATAAATACGCATGCATCTGTAGACATATACGTGTAGGCCTATATTTATAAGGAATAATTATACTTTAAATTTGATTTTTTAAATGAGCAATAAAAAGTCCTCTGACAGAATTTTTCTTGGGATCTGAAAGAACCCTTTCCCCATACCCAGCTCATGAAATTTGGCTAGTATTAGAAGTATGACTACTTAGGAAATTATTTGGGTGGGTTTTCAAGAAGTCAAATGTAACAAAAATAAGGAATATTTCTAAAAATCCAGCTCTATATAGGTGAAAAGGAGAAAATGGGAGGAAAGAAAAGGAAGAAGCCAAAATAACAAAAATAATGGAGGAGAAGGGAATAAGCATTAAGGAAAAATAAAAAACATCATTTCCGCAGGGTTTATAATGTGCCAGGCACTCTGCTGATAAGCCCATTATATTTTTTGGGGGGGAGTCTTATTTACTATATACAGCAATCCTAGGAGATGGGTCTTAAAATTCCTTTCTCACAAATGGAGAAATTAAGATCAGAGATGTTAAAACATCAATTTCATAAGCACGCACAGCAAGTAAGTGCGGAGTAGGGAAAAGAAACTGCCATCTGGCTGATCTTGGAGGTGGAAAAAGTTAACCCTGGCTCCATTCTCAAAACTTAGTCATTCTGCAATCTCTGTCTCCCTTTAAGTGCATGAGAAGCGCAGGCCAGCCACGCAGCAGTTAGGCCAACTAATTATTTGGGGAACGGGCTGGGGCAGGATCCAGAGGCCCCCCTCCCTTCCATTCAGGCAGGGAGGGGGCAGGTCCATGCAGCCTCAGGTAGAGAGGAGGGAACTAAAATGATCCATTTTCATAAATTTTTCCACAACTTCTGCACTTTTGCTTTTTATTTTTGACCTCTTACCTCCCAAGAATCCTAGAAGATTAAATGCAATCTTTAGAATCTTTTAGCAGGTGATTCAAAGCACATTACCTGCCGGCCATTCTGCTGTGGTGAAATGCTGGCATTTCATGAAGGGCGAGGCTCCTGGGCGCCCCACACTAACACTGGGGGCTTATGTACTCTTCAGCGAGTCCTCAAACTCCCCGTTCTTCTCCCTGTTAAAAGAGATTCGCGCCTTGTTCCTGAATGTCCTCACATGGTAAACATCAGAATTAATTTTTTTTAAGAAAAACAGAACCACAAAAATGCTATCGAACTGATGTGTGTGCCACTTACAGAGATCGTTTTTAGGAACATGTTCAATCTGAGTGACACTTTAAAGAAAAAGCAAGCATGACTATTCCATGATGAACTCATAGTATTTTCTTCCCTTAGATTACCTTTCTCATCCTCTTCACATCTCTTTTGATAAATGGGTCAGACACCATCATCCCCATTTTACAATTGAGGCAATGAGAGGTTAAGTGCCCGACCGTTGGCAGTAACCAAGATGAGAACGGGACTTAAGTCTCCTGTCCAAATCTGAGCTTCATTTTACCTCCTCCTTAGGGCCAAACTGCTACCTCAGAAACTACCTTTGTCCTTAGTTCCCTTGGCTGTAAAAATAGGGTCGTATCATTTCTGTAATAGGCCGTCACTCTTAGAACTAAGATTGTATTGTCTCGGGAATTAGAGCCCTGAGTGCTTGTGGCATAAAAATGCTTTATACACTTAGCAAAAAATTAGAACTTTTCTAATGGGGGGGGGTGGGTTTGAACTGGCTTGTTGATGATCTGAATCATCCCTGACCTAGGATGTGGACTTTGGCAGATGAATCTGAAGGCAGAAAATGTTTCCAGATCCATTCTCATTCAGTACAATACTGGACAAGTTTTAGAAGTCCTTCTTTATGGCATTCCCTTGCTATCACTATGGGCTGTTTCCTTCACAGTGCTTCTATTTTTTAATCAATGGAAATTACTCATCACGATTAAAAACTTGTGTGATTATTTTTCCTATCGCGAAATGGAAATTGTTGGAAAATTATTCTGAACTACTTTGCTCTACATTTAGCCTTTAATGCCTTGGTAGAAACGTAAGGAGATGCTGAAGCCGTGTCATTAACGTGTCATTTGCTTCCCTGTTACTTGCCTGACACACAACCCACACCGAGAAGTGTTGCACTTGTCACTTTAAGAAGATCAGTTTTAGGCTATTCATGTTTGGAATGTCGGTGAAGTTAAAAAAAAAAAAAAAGAATACCTATGACAGTATTCACACATTTTGGCCTAAGAAAACATCATTTTTCCCTCTTTTTCAATCGTCACCGTATGCCAAAATTATTCACTGCTGTCTCTTTAATCCCTCGCACAGGGCCAGGCATATAGTGGGTACTCAGTCCCTGCCAAATGAATACATTGGTGTGCTAGTAAGAGGAACGCGAGAGCAGTCTTATTCTTTAACTAAGAAACATGGACAAAGAATTTTCCTACTTCATGATTAAGGTATTATTGGATTAGAATTCTCCTAAAGAAAGTCTCAGATGAATTTGTGCTCATGAGCCTCCTTTCCAGCCATTTCCAATCAGAGAAAAACAGGTGAGAAAAGTCAGGAGTGCCAATGATAAGAAGGACGGTTCTGCCCAAACGGATGCTATGTACAGCTGCAGGTGTAAAATGAAAGGAGTGGTCTTCTTGTTTGTTAGGACGCCTGTTTGATCTTACCTACAAGTAATACAGATGTCAAAAATTACTACTTTGGGTGTGGAAACTGCCTGTGAATACACATTTACACATTCAAGCTAAGATTATACTTAAAGTGCTTCCTGATGGTGATACTTAATTCTAAAAAATGGGGCAGTGTGCAGTCCACCTTCTAAATCTAACGTTACAATCATCTTGGGTTATTTTTATAACCAGCTAAATGAGAAAGTGTAATAGGATGAGGTAGGTAAATTTAAGTTTCTAGAAACAATTGTGTTTTCATTGTGTTCTACCCTGGAATGTTTTTTGTTGTGGTTTTGTTTGTGAACCAAAGCAAACTAACATTTCTGTGAAGTTTATGGTATTCTAGAGAGGAAAATACTTGGTAGAATGTTTTTTTAACTTCTAATATTTCCAACCTAAATGAAACTTTCACAGATCAAAAAGAGTACAAGACATGTTAGAATACGAGGAGCTCTTTTGTGAGAGTCAGGACAGGTGTTGTAGAGCACTGTTATTCCCATCCCGGTGGAAAAGGTCAAGTGTAGTTCCACCCTAGGGTACTTTTGTTTCTTCATTAGAAACATTTACATTTAACAGAATTCATTTTTGAAAAGTTGGATGTACAACTTAAGTGTCATAAATGGTACTCACTTCTCTCTCCAACTGTATCTGGGCACACATTCGAACCTTAACGTTTCCTCATCTTTATTAGTATCATTTCTTAACAGTCTTGCCATTACTGCTGCATGAAACTCTGTAAAACATTTATCTGTTTTCTTGTTTGAGTATATAGTTCCTATATGTTGCTATCAGTAAAACATTACCAATGGACTCATATGCCAATTTAAACTTACACCACTTCAGGGGCGCTGGGTGGCCCATTTGGTTAGGGTTAGCGTTCGGCTTGGGTCATGATCCCAGGGTCCTGGGATCGAGCCCCGCACTGAGCTCCCTGCTCCGCAGGGAGTCCGCTGCTCCCTCTCCCTCTGCCTGCTGCTCTGCCTGCTTGTGTGTGTGCGCTCTCTCACTCTGTCAAATAAATAAAATCTTTAAAAATAAATTTAAAAAAATAACCTTATACCACTTTAACAATAATGCAGTGTTATGTTTAGAAGCCAAACTTCTAGAGTACTATACTGTATCCCATATTGTGCAATGTATTATTAGGAAGGCCTGCTTTTTCCCAGGACTTCAAGTTCTGTGAAATTATGAGGTGCTTTAGTTATAGCTTGATTCTCACCTCATATGAGAAAAAGTTATAAGCATGTTATCATGGTTGGCTTTGTGTCTCCCTAGGCTTTCGTGTTGTGGTTCTTTTTGGAAGGACTTGAGTCAGGAGTTGGAGAAGAGAAAAGAAATAGTGGACCTGTTCTTTCATTTAAATATGATACCAACCCTTTGCTGCTTGTGCTTTTTGTTAGCTCTTTTGTAGCATTTATTTTGGAGACCTCGTTTCCCCGGTGCAGTATTTTCTAAAATTGAAAGGAAAAATGAAGACTGGTAGAACCTAGGAAAAGAGCTCAAAGTAGAGAAAATGGACTGAGTGAAGGGGTGACTGTCATTCAGTCCTATTGTGAACTTATGTCATTGCCTAAGGGGAAATTTGGATTCATTTCAATAACTAGGGGAAGTAGTTAACCGTTCAAAAATTCATTCATATGACCAAATGAGAATTCTTATTGGTACTGCATTTCTCAAAATAAGTAGGCCTTACTCCCCCACCTGTAGATCATTTCCAGAATTGTATTCCTGAAACGTTTAAACCTTAGTACTTAGAACACTGATGGCAGGATATACGTCGTCGACTGATGATGCCGTTCTCCAAGAAGCTGTCTTAGACATTATCTGAGAATATCATCCCCTGTAGGAAAAATTTAAAGTTCTAATCATTTGGCTCTACACAAAGTGGGTAATTTTTCAGCTGTAAAAGTGGTCACAAAGCTTAGCTTTATTTGCTTCCTCTTTATTTTCAAAAATGTATATTGAGATGAATGTTATTAATGTTTACAGAATAGGTGCAGCACTAGGTACCTATAGATGGGTTACCCCATCTTCTAGGGCAATCCTCCAAGAAAATCACTGTACAGTCTAAATCAATTTTATTCTCTATAAAAGCCATTCAGACTTCTACTTGATCCTGCTTCTCATCTTCAAATAATTCTCTTTTCCATTCCAAGCATTTGCATGGTTATCTTTAAGCAATTTATTTTTGGATGCTTTGTAAAGAAATTCCTGTCCTTTAAATCAGCTAACAAAATTCATACATGTAATTTGTATCGGGTGGGGTTAATTTTCTCATTGAATTGTGCATAGAAGAAGATAGTATTGGGGAAATTTTATAGCCCCCCCCCCCCCAGCTTTTTGGTGGATCGGTATCGCATACTGGCTAGGGATGCAGATCCTGGAGCTAGAGGACACTGGCATTGGTATTTGCTAGCTGTGCAATCTGAGTCAGATGATGTAATCTTTCTGTGCCCTGATTTCTTCTTCCGTAAGATGGAGATACTAATATTACCCTACACAGATAGGGTTGTTGTGAGGAATGAGTTAATACATGCAAAGGACTTAGAACAGAACTCTTGGTAAGATCGTGCTGAAAAAGCCAAATCATTATTTCATAGTACGATTTCTTTGTATATGTAAACTAGACTTTGCCATGCATATTAGCCCATTAGCCACACTTTTAAAGAAGGACCAGTAGCCTGGACTTAAAAAGGCAATACCAGAGTTATTTCAAAATCCTAGTCAATTGTGCAGTTTTTATTTGCTGTGTTCACTTTAAGTCTGGTCTCCTTAGGTGACTTTTCATTACTGAAAGTGCTTTAACTGGCTCCTGTCACGGTATAGTTTACATGAGTTTTTTAAACTTTTATAAATTCCACGAGTGATTTTTCTTCTGCGAGTGACATTACTCTCAGTTTAAGAGCGGCACTTCCGGGCTGACTCAGGGAAGAAGATCTGGTCTCTTTCATAGTCCAAGAGAAACGCCGCCTCGGGAGAAGCTGTCAGGCGGGCTGCAAGGCTTTCTGGCCCGGGAGACACTTGCTCACCAGTTTCCGTTGATCTGCTTTGTAGCTTGCAGTGCCCCACAATGACGAGTGGACCCGCTTTGCCAGGACCCTCGTGGAGATTCGCGCTAACAGAGCTGACAGTGAGGAGGAAGGCACCGTTGAGTTATCTGCCTAGTGGAAACGAACCGCCCGACCCCAGCCCCGACCTTCGCCTTCTAGAACTCGGCTCTGCCGTCGTCGATCCCACCTGGCATTCAGCGTCCATTCAGCAGCAGTGTTGCGTGACCTTTTGGGTGTCCCGTTGTGCCGGCTTTGCTCCAAGTATTCCAGATGTATCCCACCCCGCTTTCCACTGACCTGCCGTTCACCAGAGCCTTTCTATCTTTGTATTTCTGTCTCAAAAATTGGGGGGTGGGGTGTAGGCTTTACGGGTTTAGTTGTTGCCTTTTAACTACTTAGTAGCTGTATTTAATAGCTGGAAACCTCTGGTTAAATTTGTTCTTACATGCACTTCTGGCATAGTCCTATTAAATCCATATGAAGCCACATATGATTAGGCGCAGATGTGCTGTGCTTCATGCTATGGTGCAGGGCCAAAGACTTGAGACGCGGTGTTTTCCATGGTGACTCGCGTTATGGATGGATTTACTAGAAGAGCATTGCTGCTCCTTATTTACTGTGGTGTGCTGCATGGAACAGATTTATTTGAAAGCATTAAAATAAACGATCCTAGAGCATGTGCATAATGAGAGGACCGTATTGTCTCTCTGCTGCTGTTGAGGTTGCATTAAGTTCCAAATAACAATTACAGTATGCCGGTTCCACTGAGGACAAGAAATCTTTAGAGGTTTGTTGCAGTGAGCAGAATGAATTTTAATGCCTATTACTTCTAGGTACTTTAACAATATTTCAAATGTAGTTGACCACTGATACTTGTCATTCAAGCTAACACAGTCCAACAAAAATCTGTGGTTCCTGAATATGACACCAGTGTTGCCAATAAAATGTTCCAAACCAGGTCTGCACCAGCGTGGATAAATCCTTTGCTTGGGGAAAGCCTGACTGGATTTTGCTATGACAAGAGGGTGGGGGAGATACGTTAAGGCCATGTTAAAGATTGATAATGAACTTACAGGCAGCCAGCCTGGCTGGACTTAAACCAAGACTCTGGTTTTATTTTTACGAGGGAACGTGTGTGGTTTTTTGGAAAGCTTTCCCTTACCTCCTTCACCAGAGCCACTCCTGCCCAAAGACGGTCTCAAATGTTGGAGTAAGGAAAATAGGTTAAGGTGAACAGATACCAAATGTTCTGCACATTTCTTCAAATTTTTAAAAAATTTACACCAGAAAATTATGTTTATTGCTATTGGACTAGGCAACATGTCTATAAAGAATTTTAATAGAAAATTTTCTAAAAAGTCATTTCATGCCTCGAGAGAATACAAATAAATAGTGGTTGAGTCATGAAAAACATCTGAAGACAGATTTTCAGCTTTTCAGGAAGAGAATCTCCATGGTGCTTTGGTGGTAGGGACTCCTTTAACTGTGAGATTTCTTTTAAAAATAATGGCATGCTTTTGCTCTAAGTGCCCTATGGTATATAGATACTGAAATTCTTGGAAGGCAGGAATTAAATTTTTGAAGATAAAATATGAGGGTCTTAAATAGGTTTAAAAGCAATCCAATAAAAGTACCAGGGGAAAAAAAAGTTTCTCAAGCATAAAGGACCAAGAATAAATCAATTATCCATGAGTTGCTGTTACAGACCAAACTCTCAATGATTCCATGAGTGAAGACCGAATGGTGAAAAGGCCAGAGCCTCCTGTAGTAAGCACATGAAACATTACGTGAGTTTATATACATACACATCCCGCTGTGGTAGCGAGTCTCCAAAACAGTCTTGTGTAGAGACTCCATGTGGAGTCTGGGCTGAGCTGGCATAAATGATGGCATATGGGGGAAGTGACGCTGTGTGGGGTCCAGGACATGGTTATGAGAAGACTTAGAGCTTCCTTTTGGTCTCTGAGCACACTCACTCTTTGTCCCTAAGTCAAGAAGTACAACCACCTGTGTAAGAGGTAAAACCATCCCGAGACCCCCAGGCCACACATGGGCCCAAGGTGACTATGCAGTGGCCCTGTGGCTAGAGAGATACCCAGCCAGTCCACAGCCACCTCATGTCCTGGATGGAAAGTGGTGGCCATGAAAATTTGCCTCTCTCATCTCCTCCTGCTGACGGCACACCTGACTAACAGCCCCAGCTGCTCTGCTTTGAGATCCATCACCATGTTTGACCAAGGCCATGCTTTCCACCGGCTGCTCGCAGCATGGACAGATACTGAGGCAGGCCTGTTCTTGGGAGATGTGAGACTTCTCTGAGAGGTAATTGGCTCAAGGACTCCCTGTCAGCATTGCTAAAACTTTCTAGAACTGTACTGCAATCTAAAACTAACCATTCTTCCTTCCCTTCCTCCCCCCCTCCGATCTTTCCCTTTCTCTCAGGGTCAGACCAACATCTGATGGCTCTCCCAGCATAATCTGTCTGGAGAAGACATGCTGGGCCTCATAGGAGAGTAAAGAGACTGAAAATCACCAAAAGAGTTGCAAGAATAAACAAATACTGGGATACCTGGGCGGCTCAGGCGGTTAAGCGTCTGCCTTCGGCTCGGGTCATGATCCCGGGGTCCTGGGATCGACTCCCGCATCGGGCTCCCTGCTCGATGGGCAGCCTGCTTCTCCCTCTGCCTGCCGCTCCCTCCTGCTTGTGCTTTCTCTGACGAATAAATAAAATCTTAAAAAAAAAAAAAGAATTAACAAGTACCATTAGGGGCCAGGGAAGCAGCACTGAGACTGGATTTGGAGGGATTTAAGGGAGCCAGAATGTAAGACGGGAGAGGCAAGAATTCACTAACTTTGGGCCACTTCTTTGGGATATGCGATTTTATACTCTGGCAAGGACTCCAGGGGATAGTGTGGTTGATCCAGTCATTCTTAGAAGTCTGGAAAAGCCGTAGCCTACACTTAATGAAGTGAAAATGTGTGAGTTCCCCTGACTGATAGTACAGATAGGAATAAAGAGGTTGAAGGAAGTAGATGTTAGAATAGAAATATTAGGTAAAGCTGGAAGACACATCCAAGTGTTACATAGTAGGGCCCAGAGCACACACCCTTCACCACCATCAGCAATGAGGTAGTGAGAAAAACTAAGTATCTTCAGGGATTTTAGTCATGGCCTTCTTTACAGGCCAGGGCTGATGGCAGGAGACACAGTCACAGAGCAGGGCTTGGTAGTATCTGTGGGGATGATGACACCCTGGAGTAACAGTGGCCAGGCGGCAGCAGTTAACCCCCAGAAACCAGGAAGCCACAATTACCTTAATGGCCAGCTACATCAGAGGAGCAGCAAAGGAGGCTTTACACGTTCATAGAACGTAGCATCCTAAGGGCAAAACAGGCAGCTCAAATGGTGGTTAACATCTGTAACTGAAAACATAAAAGCAAGAATGGAGAAGCAAAAAAAAAAAAAGGAAAAGAAATGAAAAATTTGGGAGCAAGTGGCTCAAGGCAGTTACCTCAATAGAAAACCATGATCCGGGGCGCCTGGGTGGCTCAGTCGGTTGAGCGTCTGCCTTCAGCTCAGGTCATGATCCCAGGGTTCTGGGATCGAGCCCCACATCGGCTTCCTGCTCAGCGGAGAGCCTGCTTCTCCCTCTCCCTCTGCCTGCCTCTCTGCCTTCCTGTACTCTCTATCTCTCTGTCAAATAAATAAAATATAAAAAAAAAAAAAATCATGATCCTCCGCTCATTACCCAGACCAGATCCAATTTTCTGATCTAGAACCCATTGACTGAAGACGTAGCTTGCCTAGCAGGAAGGATACATGGCAAACATATTGTGATGATTTCTTCAGTCCTTCCCCAAAGGGACCTATGGCCATTTATTCAGGTCAATGTATAATGCAGAAAGAAAAATCAGATACTTGGAGACCTAGTGGATACAGGGTCTAGGTTCACAATGAAACTCAAAGCCATATCATAGTCCCCCAGTTAGAATGGTAACTTATAGTGACTAGGTAAGATAATAAAGCCCTCTAGGTCACAAAGGGCTCATTGGGTCTATGGACACATACAGTGACCATTTCCCCAATCCTGAGTGTTCAATTGGAACTGACATACTTAGCATGGGGTCCCTGGCCTCTGGGGTAAGACCTATACAGAAGGGAAGGCCAAGTGGAGGTCTCTGAAACTGCCATACCCCCATCTTCTCCTACCAAAATGGTAAATAAAAAACAGTATTACATCTCAGGGTAGGGCGGGGAGGATGGCAGACATTAGTGACATTCTTGGAGTCCTGGAAGATGAAGAGTGGTTGTCCCTAGAATTTATCCATTTAAGACACCAGTCTGGCCCCTTCATAAGTTAGATAGATCTTGGAGAATAACTGAAGAGTTCTGCAAGCTCAACCAAGCAGGAGCTCTTATCAAAGCTGCTGTGTCATATGTCACATCTTTCTTGGAACAGATTAATAAGGCCTCTGGTACATGGTAGGTGGCTGATTGATGAATGCATTATTTTCTATTCCAACTATATAAGATTAGAAACAGTTTATACTTATGTGGGAAAGAGCACAATACTTATTTACACTTCTGTCTCAAGGCTGTTAACTTCTTATCCTCCACCATACTCTAAATAGGTCTGGACTTGCCTGAACATCCACAGAACATTACATCAACCCATTACATCAATGGCATCACACTGATTAGGAAGGATAAAGAGTTAACTAATGCACCAGAAGTCCAGTAAGGTATATATACTCCAGAGGGCGGGAGATAGATTCAAGGAAGATTTGAGAACATGCTACTTCAGTGGAGTTTTTAGGTACATGCTGGGATATCCCTTCCCAAGTGAAAAAGTGCTGGAGCTTAGAACTCCCAAAACAAGGAAGCACAGCCTGGAAGATCTCTCTAGGTTCTGAAGGCAACACACTCCACGTCTTAGAATACTCAGTTCTACCAGGTGGCATGCAAGGCATTGGGTGGGGCTTAGAATGAGAAAGGACTTTGCAGAAGATCTGAACTGCAGTGCAAGGAGCTCTACCAGGCCATTCAACCAACATTCTATGGTATTAGAAGTGTCACCAGTGGGAAAAGATATGGCAACTTATGGCAAGCCCCAGTAGGGAAATTGTAATAGTGGCCCATGAGGTTCCAAAGGAGAGTTGAGCAATCTGAAGCGAAGAATTATGTGACTTTTGAGAAATAGTGCCTGACATGTGACTGGGTCATGGAAGAAGTAGAGCTCTTCACCATGAAGATATGAAGATACGAGACATCCAAATAGCCCAGCGGGTCCTGGCAGCCTCACCAAGTTATAAAGTTAGATCCAGAAGAAACCTCTTCCATAAGATGTAAATTGTGCATCCAGGATGTACATCTGAGCAGAACCAGAGGGCATGAGTAAGCTGCATGAGCAAGGCACCCAGAAGCCCAATGTCACCCAACAGGATTTCACCAGCACCCCTTTCCCGTGCTTCATATATGGTTACGTGGGGAGGGTGGGTTCTGTAGGACTGGCTGGAAAAAAGAGGAAAAGGTCCAAGCTTGGTTTACATATGGGTTGGCTCAGTTTGTGGGTGAAAGAATGGGTGACAGCTACATTACAGCCATATTTAAGGGTGGCCTTAGAAGACCTTAAAGAGGGAAAAACTTTCCAATAGAGCTGTAAGGTATGCACATAGTCATCCACTCTGTGTGGAAAGACAAGGGGCCAGGAGTAAGTACATATACATACACTGCCCTAGGCCAAGCCATCATCATCTGTCTCATGAATTCTTGCAAGGATCTCCTGACCTCCCAGCTTCCACCTTTGACCTCTTCAGTCTCTTCCCGATATAGCCACTTAAATGACAGTTACAACACTGAACTCCTCAGCTTAAAGCACACCAATGGCTTAAGTCATGGGGATATAAAGTATAGCATAGGCAATATAGTAATATTTTAATAACTTTGTATGGTGACAGATGGTGACTACACTTATTGTGGTGAGCTTTTTATAATGCATTAAATGTCAAATTACTATGTTGAACACCTGAAACTAATCTGACATGGTAGGTCAACTCAACTTCAATAAAAACAACCAAACCAAACCAAAACACGTGAAAGGCTCTCACCTCACTTGGAGTAAAGGCAAAATCCTGATAGTGGCCCACAGGCCCTGTATGATTTGACTTTCACTTCCTGTCTGATCTTCTATCCTGTTACTTAATCTTCGCTAATCCACTCCCATTTCTCTCACCTCAATCTTCCTTCCACCAAGCAGCACCTCCAACTATAGGGCCTTTGTACTCATTGTTTCTTCTGTCCAGAATGTGGAAAGCACTGAGTTTATAAACCCTTATGCACATATTTCAAAATTTCACCCTTTAATGTAATTAAGGTCATTCCTCTGACTTTTCCAACTAACCTTTTATCTGTGAAAGTAACAGGCTCTCTAACTGCTTACCATCAACCTCAATAAGAAGTCATAGTTTAAAATAGCAACAACAGCAACTGAAGATGAGCTTAAAAGCATCTGACACTCCCAATGAGAGCACTGAGAGGGAGAATTAAAAATTATATGTAAAATTAAAATGAGAAAAAGTGTAAGTTTTTTTATTTTTATTGAGGCATAATTCACATACGACAAAATGCACAGATAGGGAGTGTTTGGTTCAACAAATTTTAACAATTATGTGCACTTATGTAACCAGCACGTTCCACAAGATCCAGAACGTTTTAATAAGGAGGGAAATACTCTTGTGGCCCTTTCTAGCAATCACTGTTTTGATTTCTGTCAACGCAGATTAGTTGTGTCTGTTCCATTCTTAAACTTCATAGAAGTGAAATCACACAGCAGGCCTAATTTTTATGTCTCGGGTTATTTTGCTTGACATAATTTTTTTGACCTTCGTTCATGTGCTGAATATTTTAGTAATATGTCCCTTTTTATTGCTGACTGGTATTCCATTTTATGATTATTCTGTATTTATTTATTCACCAGTTACTGATTATTAGTGTTTAACTTTCTAAGAATATTCATAAGCATTCTGCAAAGTAGTTGTACCATCTAGCATTTCCACCAACAAAGCATCTGCGTTCCAGTTGCTCCATAGCTGTTCCAGTATCTAGTATTGTTGGTCTATTTCATTTGGGCCATCTTGGAGAGTATGAAACAGTATCTAGCTGTGGGTTGTTTGCCTATACTTGAGACTAGTGGTTTTGAGCACCTTTTCATGTGCTTATTGGCCATTCTTACATGTCACATTACACGTTTTTCTATAAAAAAGCTGCTCAAATATTTTGGCCATTTTTAAGAACTGGGTTTTCTTTTCAAGAAAGTTCTTTATATAACCTATATATAAATCCTTTGTCAGTGTTACAAATATTTTTCCCAGTCTAGGACTTGGAACTTCATTCCCTTAAAATACTGTGATATGAAGAGATGTTAAATTTTCTTGAAGTCCAATTTGTCCATTTTTTTTTTAAGATTTTATTTATTTATTTGAGAGAATGAGATAGAGCATGAGAAGGGGGAGGGTCAGAGGGAGAAGTAGACTCCCCGCTGAGCAGGGAGCCCGATGCAGGACTCGATCCCAGGACTCCGGGATCATGACCTGAGCCGAAGGCAGTCGCTTAACCAACTGAGCCACCCAGGTGCCCTAATTTGCCCATTTTAATCCTTTCTGGTATTTTATAGTTCTTCTAGAAAATCTTTGCTTGCTACAGGTCACAGAGACACTATCTTGTTTTCTTCTGGATATTTTATTGTTTTAGCCTAAACGTTAATCTTAATGTTTGTGTAAGGGATGAGGCAGTGGTCAAAACTAATTTTTTTTTAAATTTATGGATATTTAGCTGGTCTGGCAATATTTGCTGAAAAAAATTTTCTTTTTGACCATTAAATTGAATTAGCATCCTTGGTAAAAAGTCAATTGATGATATACAAATAGGTAGTTTTATCAACTATTTTTGAGCAATTTGTCTATTGCTATAGCTTTTAGTCTTGTAATCAGGCAGTATTAAGTACTCCAAATTTGTTATTCATTTTGAGGGCTTGTTTTTGTTGTGGTTTTTTTAATGTTAATCCAACCTTGCCATCCTGGTATAAACCTCACTTGACCAAAATATATTGCTAGATTCTATTTGCTAATAATTAAAGCAGTTTCCCATAATTGTTCCTTAGGGATACTGGTCTGTAATTTTCCATTCTTGTAATGTCTTTGTCAGGTCTGTTACATGATGATGCTCATATGAGGAGTTGAGAAATGTTCCAACATCCTCTATTTTGTGTAAGAGTATAATATTGGTATTAATTCTTCCTTAAATATTTGATAGAATTCACTGGTGAAGCCATGTGGCTCTGGAGTTTTATTTGTGAGAAAGTTTTTGGTAATAAATTCATTTACTTAATAGAAATAGCCTATTCAGATTTTTTTTTTTTTTTTGGTTCTATTTTGGCAAGTTGTATTTTTTCAAGAAATGTATCCATTTCATCAAATTAACATAAAATTCTTCTTCTATCCCTTCATTACCTTTTTATATATATAGAATCACAGATGTCTTCTTTTTAATTCTTGATATATTGGTAATTTGTCTTTTTTTTTTTTTAATAGTCTTGCCAGGTATCAATATTGTTAATTTAAAGAACCAGCTTTTGGAATTGTTGATTTTTCTCTATTGTTTGTCCACTTTTTCTTCTATTTTGGATTTAATTTGCTCTTTTTTCCTACTTCCTAAAGTAGAAACTTAGATCACTGGTTGTAAAACACTTCTTCTAATTTAGGCCTTTACAGTTGTAAAGTTCCTTACTGCTTTTACTGTATGTATCCTACAAATTTTTATCTGTTGTGCTTTCATTATCATTCTATTCAAAATATTTTCTAATTTCTGTTGTAATATATTATTTGACCCATGGGCTTTTTAGAAGTGTGTTTAATTTCCAAATATTTGGAAAGCTTTCCAGATATCTTTGTTTTTATTTCTAGTTTGATTTTGCTTGGTAAGAAAACATACAGAGTAAGAAATACTCTATATTTCAAATCCTTTGAAATTTATTAAGATTTATTTTATGGGTTAGCATATGGTCTAGCTTGGTCAGTGTTCCATGTGCACTTAAAAATAATGTGAATTCTGGAGATACTGGGTCTGTGGTTCTAAAAATGTCAAATAGATTAAATTGCCTGAGAGTACTGTTTCAATCTTCTGTAATCTTACTGATTATTTTCTGTGTGTTCAATCAATTACTGAGAAGGGAAGTGAAAATATAAATATGGCTGTGATTTGTCTATTTATCCTTTAGTTCTCTCCGTTTTTATTCATGCACTTTGAAGCTGTGTTACGATATACTTACATATTTAGTTTATTATATCATCTTGATAAACTGACCCTTTTATTATTTTGAAATCTCCCTCTAGTGTCCTTTCATTTCAGCCTGGACTCTTTATTAGCATCTGTTGTAGGACAGGGCTGCTAGCAACAAACTTTCAGGTTTTCTTTATCTGGGTATATTTCTCTCTCATTTTTGAAGAATAATTTTATCAGAAGTAGAAATCTTCATTAACAGATTTTTTTTTTCCCCCAGCACTTTGAAGATCTCATCCCACTGCCTTCTGGCCTCTATGGCTTCAGATAAGATATCAGCTGTTAATCTTATTTAGGATCCCTTGTATATGATGAGTTGCTTCTTTCTTGTAGCTGCAAGATTCCCTCACAGGTTTTGTTCTGATAGTTTGATTCTGATGTATTTGTGGGTGGATCTCCGAGTTTGTCCTACTTGGATTTCACGGAGCTTCTCAGATAGGTTGTTTTTCATCAATTTTGGGAAGTTTTCAGCCTCTACCTCTTCAAGAATTCTGCCCTTTCTCTGTCTCCTCTTCTTCTGGAACTCCTATTATGTGCACATATTGGCATACATGATGGTTTCCCATGGGTCTGTGTTCAATTTTCTTTCTTGTTTCCCCTTTTTGTTCTTCAGATTGCATATTTCAGTTGACCTTATTTGCTTATTCTTTCTTCTGCCCTAAAATCATCATGCTGTACTTCCCTTTAGTTCTTTAGACACGGTTTCCTTTAACTCATTGAGTATACTTATAATAGCTGGTTTAAAATCTTTGTCTAGAATGAAAATCCAACTCTGGGTTTCCTCAGACACAGTTTTTCTTGATTTCTTTTTTCTTGTGTATATGCCACACTGTTTCCTTACATGTCTTGTACTTTTTTGTTGAACACCAGGTGTTTTGAATATTGTAATGCAGAACTCTGGAAATCAGATTTGTTGTTGTTGCTTATTGTAATCATTTATTTAGCAAATTCTCTGAACTAATTCCATACGGTATCTATTCTGGGTCATGTATGGCCCCTGAAGTCTGTTAATTTGATGTTTAGCCAATGGTTGGACAGAGATTTCTGTAAATGCCTAGAATCAAAAAACTCTGCCAGTATTTGCCAAAGGGCTCATGTGGGCTGAGGCACACTTTCAACACTGAGCTGGGCAGTTTACCACTCTGCATCAGTCTTCATTTCCTTTTTCTGAAGAGCCTCAAGGTTGGCAGGAGGTTGAGAACTTAGGGCCTTTTCAGGTCTCTCTGAGCATATGACTGTTCTGACTCTGGGTGTGTGTTCTTCCAGATTCCCAGCAGCATGCTAGAGCTCTTCAAAGCCCTATGAACATCTCATTCCCCAGACGGTCCTCTCAAGGTTTTGGTTAATCTACTCTTTGCCCCGTTATTTATTACCTCAGACAACTAAGATATTAGCCTACGAACTGCTTCTTCAGTTAGGAAGAAGGAAATGCATACATTGCATCGTGAGGCAGGACAAAGGCTGAGGACTGTGGAGGAATCTCTACTCTCCGCAATCATAAAATTCAACAGACATCAGCAATCACTTCACTTCTGTCTTAGGAAAAAAGAAGGCCTGTTTCAATTTTTCTCATCCCCACCTTTTCATTTTTCTGATTTTATTCTAACAAAGTATAAGCCTTTTATAAGACTAGAGCTGATTCAAATAACAAGGTTATTACAAAAAGCAGCTTCTTACATGGAGTGGCTGTCAGGACACCTAAATTCTCAAATTAATAAAGCACATCTCTATACTCAGAACTTATGTAGGTAAATTTTACTTCAAAACAGAAATTCACACTTTGAAATCACTTTTTTGAAGAAAGTATAAGGATATATATAGATACAGATATATATCCACATATCCTTTCAGTTAATGTTTAGTGTGGGTCAGTCACTAATCTGCTCGTTTATGTAGGAATGGTGGAGGAAGCAGCACAATGCAGGGGTACATGTCCTCTCCTTTGACTTGAGGGAGTGCAGGGCACTTGTTGGGAATAGAGTAAGACTTATCCACCATTAGTGGTGATGGAGATTTTACGTCCAGAAGTAATTCCAGCAAATCCCACATTCTGTAAACTGTCTCCATTCCCTCCAGACACACTTTGAGGCCAAGTACCCATAGATATTTAACTTGGTTTTCCATTATTTCCAACTTTTGTTGAAGAATGGCATTTTCTAATTATAGTAGGGATTTTTAAGATGGTCTGATTCAGTTCACATCATATCACGTTGCACTGTAACAGTCTGTAAATTTATCTCTGCTTTTTCCACATTACCTTTCCATTTTAAACTCATGGGGCAAATGCTTCAAGTTTACCTTAATCCTGTCTTTACTGATTTTAATAGGTCATAAAACTGTTTAAGATGAACCTGCCTTCGGCTCGGGTCTTAATCTCGGCGTCCTGGGATCGAGCCCCGCGTTGGGCTCCCTGCTCAGCGGGAGGCCTGCTTCTCCCTCTCCCTCTGCTTGTGTTCCCTCTCTCGCTCTGTCAAATAAATAAAAATTTAAAAAAAAAAGATGAACCTTGGGGCGCCTGGGTGGCTCAGTTGGTTAAGCGTCTGCTTCAGCTCAGGTCATGATCCCAGAGTCCTGGAATTGAGCCCCGAGTGGGGCTCCCTGTTCAGTGGGGAGTCTGCTTCTCTCTCCCTCTGCCCCTCCCCACCTGCTCATGGACTCTCTCTCTTTCTCTCTCAAATAAATGCATTTTAAAAAACAAAAACAAAAGATGACCCTCAAGAGACTTGTCAGGATTCACCTGCTCCTCAGACTCTGGAATTCTCTGAAATAGCAAAAGCACTTACTGTGGTAAATAATCAGTGATCACCCTTCCCTTCTACTCTAAGCTAGGAATGATACATCTGATTCTGAGAACTGGGGACAATAAGAAATTCTGGGCAAAGACTGTCATAAGAATTTCCTGGACTAAGTTTTGTTGAGAAGCCCTTGAAGGTAAAGAACAGGGCTTGGACTGCCACGAGACCTAGATTCAAATCCTAGCCCTCTCATTTGCTAGCTGAGAGGCCACGAGCAAAACACTGCGCCTCTGCGAGTCTTGGGTTTCCTCATTTGTAGCACAGGAAAAAGAACAGTACCTACTTTAAGGGCTGTGGGGAGGATTTAATGAGATCATGCCTGGCATGTAATACCTCATATTAATGAGTTCTCAGTGGCCAAAGAACTCCATGGTGGAGGCAGAGTGACTTGCCCCTCTTTTTCTCTTGAAAGCAGCTCAACAAGACCAGAGCAAGAGCAAGAGGCCGAGGGAGGTGATAAGAGACAGGGAAAAATGGTTTCTTTAAGTTGAATTTCCTTTTCCCCACCATACAGGATTATGGTATGCTTGCACAAGTCTGTTCTGAGAACTTGAGTCTGTTTTAAAGTCACCTTAGAACTGATTCACTGCCAAATCACGCATCCTGCAAAGGGGCAGGGGCCCTGGCTAATGGAATCAAAGTGGTGGTGGGCACCGAGGCCCCGGCGGCCAGAGCAGTGTGCTGGGGGTGTGCCTCCGACCTGGAAGAAGCAAGCCTCAGACAGGCACAATTAGTGTGTCTTCTTAACTTTCCTTCTGAAGTTATTCGAGGGGATTGTGGTTTTGCCTTGAGCAAAACCCCCTTAACAGCCGGGAATCTAAAAACAAACATTATTTTATTAGGTTACCCCAGCAGATGAAAGCAGAGTGTTCCATTTGGACTCTTTTTTGGAGTCAATTAATGCATTAGCTAAAAACAAACCCTTATGAAAGAGAGTTCCCGTTGTCCTCAGCAGCTTCTAAAGGAAAACTTGCCCCTGTGCTCCTACGGACACATAAACATCAGGCAGTGAGAGAAACAGAGAGAATGAGTTGTAAATAATATTCATTGATAAGAAAAACTATTTTAATGACCTATCTCAACTCCAATGCAGTACTAATCTCAAAGATACAATTTTTTAAAGCTTTATTTTTAACAATGATCAGGAACTTTAAATATTGTTTATATGACAGTTCCTGAGTCAATTTAAGTCATTAACACCAATTTTAAACAGCTGTAGCTTTAATAAAAGACGTATTTATGACTTCTAAAGTATGTGATCGATACGGAAGACTGTGATTGTTTTCAGTTATGGTTTTAACTCCAACAATGGAAAAGGCTTGTAAAGTAGGAAAATAATAGCGATTGCTCATTGGGGTAAAAAAAAAACCCGGATTTCTCAAAAATCCATTCACCCATCCTTCAAAATAATAACAACCAAGAGCCTACTAAGTTCCAGGCACCGTGGAACTCTGAACAAAAGCCTCAGTCCCTATCCTCATTAGAGCCCAGGCCAGGCTTTCAAAGTAAAGACTGCTAGGGTTTTAAGACAGAGGTGCAATGCTTTCAGCTGCCTCTGGCCTTGGAAAAGAGGCGGTGGACCCCCTGTGGTCTTCCTAACATTGAAAATAGAACTCCTCCTTGGTGAGGGCTGGGTTATTCCCAAAAGGTAAAACAAAAGGCACACCCCCTCTGTGGGCAGTACCATCTGTGGAAAGAACATTTCACTGCTCTTACCAGTGAATGGGTCTTTAAAAAAAATCTTTGAAAAATCCACATCCTGAAAGCATTTGATTACCCTGAATTTAAAATGGGCTCTTGCTCAATGGCAAAGATACAAACTCATCCCCCAAAGAACGGCTTCTGCGGTGAAAAGGCACACGATGACTTTGAGAGAGGGTTATCAACAAGGCTGATAAACGGGGCCACAAGACAGAACTCATCAAATGCCATTGCTGGAGACTTCCCTCCGTCTACCTGAAGAATTCCAACGTGACATGCTGAAGACCTAGCGGGACAGGGTTACAAACAGTTTCAAGCACAATTTCTTCCCGCTTTTATTCCCTGCTCAGTGTTATGTGCTGTTAAACATTTCCAGAAGACTGTCAAAATGTAAGCATCCTGAGGTTTACATAGGCCACACCATTAAATAACATATAAGCACAAAATTTTAAACATTGTTTTCCAGCAATGGTAGATATTTTAGCTAAGTAAAAACTGAAGCTTGCAATGCAATAAGCACTTAAATGACTCCTTTCTGTGCCAGCATTCTTATTTTCCCCTGTGCAACCCTGGCTGCTGGGATTAAGGCGACCCCAGGGAGCTCAGCAAATGGTTGTGGGTTATGAGGTGTAGCATGAGCTTGGCGACAGCATGCCACCCAGCCTCAAGAAACCCAGCCACGACTGGAACCCAAGAATCAGTGTGTTCACTTTGTGGTCAGCTTCACATCTTTTCCCCTCCTTGAAAAAAGAAAGCTGCTACAAAAATCAGGCCTCTGCCCCCACCCCCTAAGCAACAGGAGGTGCACCAAGGGCAGGGCTGGAAGACTCCTCAGCTGATGGGCGGCACGGCAGGCGGAGGCTGCCCTGCCCCCCACCGTGGGCAGGCAGCGTGGGCGTTCCCCAGCTTCCGGTTCCTCAGCATTGGGGGGGGGAGTGACCGGCTGCAAGAACAGCAGCCACGGCCCTGCCGATGACGTCCTGCGCTGTCACTTCAGGACGAAGGAAAACCCAGAACAAATTTGACGTGGTTTTCACCACGCAGTGATTGCAGTCCTATTCAAGGATGTCACAGTCACACCACCCACTGAGCAGAGCTCAGATGGAAATTAGGCCTCCTTCAAAGTGTCTCAAGTCACAGCCTATCCTGAACAGAAGCAGCCAAGGATTTTAAAGAAACACGGCCCCGGGGCTCCATCTCCTTTGGCTTCCCGGTTCCTCTGGTTTCTCCTTTACTGAAGAGAATCACCCTCAGTGGCAGGCAAATATAGCAATGGCTCTTGAAGAAGCAGGCAGGGCAATGCACCTCTTCTGAGATTTGGGTCACTGTTGTTAGCATGAAAATCTGATCTCCCACAAAATTCCAGCAAGTGAAGAAAAAGGAATGCAGAAATTTACACTGAGGGACTTCTGTCCACGTTCAAAATACCAGAGCTTGAGTGATTTGTTATTGCCACACTACCCAAATTTCTAAGACATTATTTGGAGTTTTGTGACTGGTCTTTGGGATTAAAATGTAAATATTTATCATGTATCACACTGAGCGGCGACTGGGGCTAAGGATGGGTAGATAGAGGAGCGGTTTTTGCTTTGGTTTTGCGAAACCATGAAGGGAGCCACATCCATCTTTGTGCTGTTTCTGGTGAAACTAACAAAGCTTTTGTTCACTTAAGAAAAAAAAAAAAATCAGACTCATGATGGTGTTGATGCTCCCCGATTTTCTTTTGTTTTGACGCCCGTCAGTTTTGAACAGTAATTTCGAATGTCAACCCGTTGACTCTAAAAGTCGGACCGAGACTGCAAAGTGGCTGTCTCTCCTGGAGGGACATTGTGGAGATTCCGAAAGTTCAGACTGACCGCTCACAGGTTCTCAGTAGCCTCGCCAGAGTCTAAGAAGTCCAAAAGCTCTAAATTCTGGTTCAAGACTAGCTTCGTTCCCCAAATGATAGTGTTGGCCAAATACCACCAAATGTTAGATACAGTGACATCTGGTTTTTGTATGAGGAAGAATCAGAGAAGATTAGAAAACACAACTGCCATTTCATACCAGTTTTCATGCCCACCTTCCAGTGAAACTTCACACTATAAAATGAAAATCTGTATAAACGCTCACGGTAAGAAACTGCCCAAAGCACTGGGGATGACTACAGGAAAACTGTCCATGCGCTGGGCTCCTTGCTTATCTAGGGTTAAATGTCATTGCTTTTACTCACTCTGAATGTCGACACACTGAAAATCAGGGTACACATGACCTTGAAGGACCAGGAGGATAGAACCATGCCAACAGGGATAAAAGCACCCTGAAAATGAAACATACAGAGTCCAATAATGACAATTATTGTAGTCATTCACCACCTGACATACACGAGAGCAAACAATTCAATAGCTTTAAAAATAGTTTATTTCCTCCTTCACAAACACTTGAGCCTTCTGACCATTATGCAAGGCACCACAAATTAAATAAAAATGTGTATCAGAATATATTTGTCTCACATGATTCAAAATGAATGGGACTTTAAAAGCGATAGATGCCGACGACGGGAGGGCCGGGAGGGCACGGAGGCAGGCGCCAGTGCTGGGGGCATGTGGTCCCACAGCATCTGCTGTAACAGGCAGTGACCAGCACGTGTCATCAGATGAGCCGTGATCCAAAATTAGCACATCCCGGAGAGGTGCTGCAGCTCCCAGGTTCTCTGTCTACGGGATATAATACCTAAAGTACTTCCTGAAAATACAAGGACTTCTCTCTAAGAGTCTTGGTACCACTAACAGTATGATTATGAAACATCCTCAATGTGGTTTTCATTGCCAAAAAAAAAAAAAAAAAAAAAGGTTTTCATATAAAAGCTTCATAATATAATCCAGAAAGAGAATTAGTACATGTTTAAAATCTGAAGCCAGGCTGGCTATTTCTGATCATTTTTTTCATTTCTTCCAGTGTTTCTTATAGTGATAAATATGCACCCAGCTTCCTACCAGTTGAAACATGTATGAAACACTTTGCTCTGAGCACCATGATTGCCTTTCAGTAATCTCTTTGGGACTATAATCCTAATCCAAGGAGAGTAGCTCTAACTTCAATTCAGACTTGTTCCTTTCCCCAAACATGTTAGTGTTGACCAAATCCCAGTAAATGTCAGATACACACACAGGTTCGTGAGCAGAGGCCCAAAGAATAATTATGAATAATTTCACAATGATCCGGTTAAGAAAACACACAGAAAATGAATGATTTCACCTTATAAAAAGCCTCCACTTGAATTTAAACAAGAGATGGAAGTGAAAGGAGGAACACTGTTTCCATGGGAGACAAGGCACTCTCCACCCCCAGCGGACTCCTCCTATGGGCCTGCGCTGATCACCGCTGAGGTAGAAGCCGGCGGCTTGAAGAGAGGTAGGTAAAGTCCAAATTTGTTTTCAATCCCTGCAAATGTCGCAACTGCCAGTCTGTAGCCTCCAACGTGATCAGGATTGGGAGCAGGCAGTATGATCCTGGATTTAGGAACTGGCTCTGATCCCATGGGTTTCCTAAAAGAAGAGAAAATTGGGCGAGAATCTGTTTTATCATTTTTTACCTTGGTAAAAATAACATTCAGAGTTTGTGGAAATTCGCATCACATAAAGGAGTTGTGGAATTCTAGCTGGTTGTATGTTCCCCTTGGGAATGAGTCTGGTTACATGATTTCCGTATTTTCCTGCATCTTGTCTGTTTCATCAGCGGAATTAGAGTGACGTACCCTTCCTAAGAGCGACTGAGTACAGGAGGAGCGGCAATCTGGCTGCGGACTTAGCGGGATACTTACACGCCTCCAAAGTCAACGTAGAACCATCGCTGTAGCAATTCATATGTCAGCAAAGTTACACCAAACTGGGGGGAGGATCGAAACACACGAGCTTTGAAGAAATGGGGAAACAACAGCTCTAATTAGGTTTTTAAAAAATTTACCCGATCCGAAAGGTTTAGTTAAGAACAAATTATTTCCCTACCACCAGCTCCTTTCCACAGGGCTTTGGGGCCTTCTTCCCGCAGTATTTTCCTGAAGCAGTCCATCACTCCGCTGTAAGTGGTTTGGCCAGCCCGGGCGGCCACTTGTAATCGCGTCTTGATAACATCGGCAGGGGTCACTAAGGATGCCGCGGGCATACCTGCAGGAGAGCACCGCCATCACAGTCTGATCACATTCGCGCCATATAAAAATAACTGTGCTTTCCACTGCAACTGCTGGCCGTGGAAAGAAAGTTAAGAGTCCGATGAAATCAAATGCCTCTTCTGCCGTCCTCTCTGGGAGGTACAGCCAGGACTACCCTGACTGCAGTGATGGAGGCTGTGCAGACATTCCTCCCTCCCCCGTCCCCCAGGCACCCAACCCCTTCGGTGTAGGACTGTATTCCTTAATGGTTTTAAGGAATTATTTATCAATAACGCTACTTCAAGCGCAACAAACGGAGATAGCATTTTTTTTTTCTTTTTTCTTCTTCCCATCTAAATCAGAAACTTGCAAAGTTATTAGGTCCGATTTTCAGAGGTGAAGTTTGTTATGCGTTTCCTCTTCACGCTTATCTGTGGCTGCTGGCAGTCCCACGAGGTGCCTTCTCACTTCTCACACACATTCAACCACCCCCTACCCACCAAAGCCTAACCTCTCCAGGTACACCAGAAAAAGCCTTTACTGAGGGCTAAGCAAACACTCTGTGTGTGTGTGTGCGTGCAGGGGGGGTGGGGGGGGGGTGGTGACCAGAGATGGAGACTCCCACAGATAATACTTCAGGATTCCTTTTTCCTAAAACTGACATCTCCAGAAAAAATATTTGACAGAAAGCTGAAAATTTGTACTGGCTGATAATCAATGAAAAAGGAACAACAACAGCAACAAAACCCTCCCAAAATTACCAATGGGAAATTTTTCTACAGTCATTTTATCCAAAACGGGGCAGCCCATGTTTAGATTTTTTAAAAGCGAGACTGTACTCAGAAGACACTGTCTCTTATGGTTTTATTACTTTTCCATTATGAACCTATTCCAAACCAAATTGGTCAAATGCAGATGCATAAATCTCCTTTGCTTTTTTTAAGGCTTAATAAATCTGTAAGAATTTCTGTCCAAACCAACGTGGTCTGGCTCACACGTACATCTCATCCTTCTAACAGGCAGCTTTAAAGTTACAGTGTGTGTGTGTGGGGGGGGGGTGTGGGTACACGCACGCGTGCCTGGGGAAATCTGCACTGTACACGTTTGCATTTATATTACTAAGTTGCATCTCTTCCTCTTCCATCTTTACTGAGCTCCTCACAAACACTCATCTGAAGTAATTGTTTTTTATAAAATATATCACATTTTTTGCATGTGACAAAGCTCACTTTATATCCAATGCTTCACTGGATAAGTCATACTGAATTTCCTATTAACTTGGAGGAATTATTTTAACTTTGAGCCAGGAATTTATCCTCCAACATAATGGAAGGAAACATGAAAAATGCTGAGAAACCCACTGTGTTCATACCACCCATTACATTTTACTTCCTGGTTTAGAAAGAGTTTAGCAAGGCTGTCTGCTTTAGGCACGTAGTAAAATCCTCCTTGCGACAGTGAGCAGGCATGTCTGAGGGACAGTGGGAGACACACAGGCAATAACGTGAGTAAAACGTCTCCTCCAGTAACAGCGGGTCTCTGTGTGGATGGAGGGCTTCTGGTATAAGACTGGCTAAAACCCTGGAGAACAGTCTGAGGCTGCTCCAGCGCAAGGCCAGGAACGCAGTATCTACTAAAAAGAGCTTGGCCGCCAGAAATCTGTTGATTTTGGGGGGCCAGGGTTGGCAAAGACTTAGTCAATTTGCCTCGTCTCTCCTGGCTTCGAAAAGGCTAAGACAACACCGATCAAGAGGTCTCGCTTTCTCTATTCCCAAAGATGGGGGAGCAAGAGATGGCTAGGAAACAGAGAGGCTTCTTCCAGGTTCCTCAACAGCAGCCTGCCCCATGCTTCAGTGATGAGACAAATGATGAGACCTTGTGGCTACCGACTACCTCTGTGACAAGAACCATTTGAGGTGTTCCTCAGCCCAGTATAAAATTATAACCCTTTAAAAGGGGGCCCAGAACCTAGAGAGCAAAAGTTCATTTACAACAAAAAGAAAGTACAACCAGCAAAATACAACTTAGGGGCAAGAAATCTGCAATTCTCACAAATATCCCATCAGCATTTGTAAAGAATGTGCTTCTCTGTTTATGGAATACAAAGTTAATATCTATTTATTTTGGATCAAAGTTAAGAGTTTCACTAATTCCCTCTGCACCCTTATCTATAGTATCTACTTGATGGATCAGCTTCTAAGAGAAGTGTCAAGATTTGGAATGAGAAAAATATCATGTTCTTATCCTACTGTTAAGTTGAGGTTTTATAAAACAACAGTATGTTGATAATACATAGTGGCTGATGGCAATATACCGTGAAAGGATTTCGGTTTGAAATGGAACCAGAGGGTATGAGATGGACATTCTCACGCACGCTCCCTCAGAAGAACGGAACTTGAGAACCGACAGACTGATTTTCCATAAACGCTTGATTTGCAGAAGACTGAGATTTATCTCCTGACCAGTGAACATCCAGCAAGCAACGTCTCCCCATCCTCAAGCCATGAGTTTACCGCTTGGATGCCACCTGGATCCCCCATCTCGCGCTCCTTGCCCACAGACTCGCCTGCAGCTTGTTAATGGCACGCGGTTTCTCCACTAGCTCTGAATAAACTCAACTCCTGCTCATTTCAGCTTGCCTCAGTTTATCTATTTAGGGTGGCCCTATCTTCTCAGTGAATTTTATCTTTTGTAAGTGTCAAATATGCCTCTGTGCTTTGGAGCGCTATTTTTAAACCCCGAATTCCATTTAGTCTGACATTAATGTTGCTAAACTTGCTTACTGTTGGTATTTGCCTAATACATATTTTTCAATCCGTTCTCTTTCAGTTGTTCTAGGTCACTGTTTTCTCAAACTTCAGATGACTAGATTTGCTTTCACAACTTGTCTAAAATAGGCATTTGTTTTTACTAGGGGCATTGAATCCATTCAATTGTGGCTATAATTGTGGTTATTAGACTTATTTCTGCTATCCTATCTTGTGGTTTTTATTTTCTCTGCTTCTAGGTGTTTCCCTTTTCATCTTCATCCTTTCCTAACTTAAATATTATATATATTTTTATCACATAAGCACAATATTTACAGTACGTACAATAAATTAGTATTTGCAGCCCTCGCCAACAAGCCCTTCTTACATAAAAATACATATACTAAAGTCACCAGGTATTTAACTCTACCTAAAAGGTTTAACTTTTATTTGCTCTGTTTCATACATCCCATATTTTCTTCTTTCTAAAATTCACTTTTCACTTTGCTTCAACAATGTCTGTAAGGCGTATCCTTTGAGTTATGGGAGAAAAAGAACTTGAGATTTGCCCTCCCTCCTGAATGCTGGTGTGCCTGGGAATGCCATCGAGGTTCCAGACATCCTCTTCTTGGCATTTTGAAGGTAGCTAGGACTGCAGATGAAAAGATGAGTCAACTTTTATTACTGATTTGTTTTGAGTCTGCTTTCCTATGACTTCTCTCCAAGGAACTCCTATTAAATAGATGTTAGACTTCCTGGACTAATCCTACACGTCTCTTGCATTTGCTCTTCCTTTCTGAGCTCTGTACTTTTGCTCCATATTTTAATTCTTGTTTTCCCATAACTTTATCTTCCAGATGTAATTTGCTCTTTGAACATAATGGATATGGATTGGAATGGTTCTATCATTCACACCATTTATGGGTTTTTAATTTTGGTGATCCCTTTATTAATTTCCAAGAAAGCTTCCTTAAGGGGTGCCTGGGTGGCTCAGTCGTTAAGCGTCTGCCTTCGGCTCAGGTCATGATCCCGGGGTCCTGAGATCGAGCCCCTCATCGGGCTCCCTGCTCGGCAGGAAGCCTGCTTCTCCCTCTCCCACTCCCCCTGCTTGTGTTCCCCCTCTCGCTGTGTCTCTCTCTGTCAAATAAATAAAATCTTTAAAAAAAAAAAAAAAAGAAAGCTTCCTTAAGATTGTTCCTCTCAACGGGCGCCTTGGTGACTCAGTTAAGTGCCTGACTCTTGATTTTGTTTCAGTTCATAATCTCGGGGTCGTGAGATCGAGTCCTGCATCAGGCTCTGTGCTGGGTGTGGAGCCTGCTTTGGTTTCTCTCTCACACCCCTCTTAAAATAAAAAACATTGAAAAGTAAGATTGTTCTTCTCAAATCTCCCTGCAGATCCTAACGACAGTTCTTAAAAGTTCTTTTTTTCTTTGAATTGCCTGTTTTCCCTGAAATTCCTCTGTTTACTTCTCTTGTTGCTCCTCGTCTGAGGGACCTCTGGCTATCTTTTGATATTCAAGTTCAAAGAATAGACTGATTAGTGTAGCACTGGTTTCTACCACCCCAAGGTCAGTTTCTTCCTGAGCGGGAGGGCCAGCAATGGGCTTTGTGGAATGGGGGAGGCCTGTAAATTAGGTACAAGGTAGTAAGGTGGCCTGGCAGGGTTGGGACCTTCCAAGTTGCTGGAATATGGAGTGCTTCACTCTGGAAGTAGAAGAAATTATTTTATATCCCTCTTGGGAAGAGCTACCATTCATTTCCTTCTTTCTTTATTTTTGCCATCTGGGGTGAAGATCTGGAACCTTAAGTAAGCCTTACCCTACTTTCCTTCAGTTCCTTACATTGCCCTCTCCAGGAAGGCGATGCCTCTCTTTGGGAAACAGCTCTGGGCTTTCATGGTCTGGATTTAAGTGTTGCCTGAAGCTCCAGACAAGAAGGAGCAGGGAGGACAAAGCCCCACCTTCCTGCCTTGAAGGCAGCTCTTTAACTCCTGTTACAGATTTGCCTTCAGGCCTCCACTACTCTCCGTAGTCTATTACTCACTCAGAACTTAAAATTCCCCTGTTCTGTTCTTAAATTAAGAGCAGTTTCTCCCGCCAGTGTCCTGGGTTGTGGCACCCTTCAGTCCAGTTTCAGACTCAGCAAGCTTCTGTTTCCTGCCTTCTGAGGGCTGGAGCTAACATTTTCTAGGACAACAGGAGTTTTAAAAAATGTATTTTCAGAGGAGGGCACGTTCTGTGATGAGCACTGGGGTTATATGTAACTAATG